CGCTTTTGTCCAAAGGTGAAATCCCTCTATTCCTTTTTTTATTACTATTTTGTGCAAATATTCAAATGTATGCGCGTCAATATTTACTACCGAGTCCCAATAACATACTCTCTACTTGCTTTTCTGGTTTGGGACAGATATGCCCATTGAGCATAGGGAAGTTACGAGCTGCGTACCCATGTTTGAAGCGCATCTACAGCAGCCTGGCTCCTGCTTGATGCTCTCCATGTCTACCTCTCTGGTTCATGCCTTAGTCGATTTCCAGTTCTCCCATATGTTTGTGCAAGTGTGAAAGAGATCCAAGGTGTGTTCTGTTCATCATGTAACTGAACATTGTTGTGTTTAAATAATAATACAGTAATGATAGTAATAATAACAATAATAATAATTATAGTGCTTCATGCCTGTTTATCAAATTCGAATAATGCCGTAGTATATGCGAACACGAGTATTATTACTCTGCAACATTTTGATTCTTTAAGAACCAAACCATTTGTAGTGTATATATATGTAAGTTTCTTATAGTCTGAGAAAAATTGTTGAAATGTGAAGCTTTGGTCTTTTATCACTCTATTGCAGTTGTTTTTCTTTTGTTCATAGTCTGTGTATACTACTAATTGGTCTTCTATTTTCTCAAGTTAGGTTCTTTTCAAACAACCTCTTTAGTTTTTTTTATCATTAGAGATATGATCTTTGTACACCCACTTTCAGCCCCATTTTTGGGGTTTCACTAGACACTAGATAAAAAATGCATTTCACATATAACACCCTAATGAAATTAAATTCTCATTTTACCCTTCACATTTATACCCCTCTTTTCATAAAACAAACTGCAACCCCTCGGGGTCCTCTTCGCGTCCCTTAGAAGAAAGAAGACCCACTGTCCTGCAGGAGGTGTATATATGTCTATTTCCCTCAGTGTCCTCTCCATGCCCCCTCGCTGGCTTCACAAGAACTAGGGGTGAGCAAGTACCGAAACGATATCGAAATATCCCGAAAAAACCGAAAATACTGAACCGAAAAATATTGAACCGAAAAAGTACCGAGAAGGAACCGAACCGTATCGAATGGTCGGTACGGTATTTCGGAACGGTACGAGATGACGTCCAATACCGAAAATCCCGAACCGAACATACTAAAATATTATAAAAATAATACCCCGGAGTAATATTTTTATATTCCTTCACTAAATAATACTCCGTAATTTTTTTTTAAAAAAATCGGTTCAAGATCTATTATGTGTAAATTATACTTTTATTTGAGTTTTAGTTTTTGTGTATGAACATAAAACTATTCACAAAGATTCGAAATATTCCTTTGCTGTCCATGTTTTTAGTTTGTGAAATACTCCGTATAAATTAAGTTTTGATACGCATCTCTTGCATTTAAATATTCATTTTTTTTAATTTTTCATTTTTTTTAAATTTAAATTCACTTTTAATTTTCAAAAATAAAGGGGCGTTTTAATTTTTAATGTGTAAAGTAGGTATGTATATTCATCCCGATTTGTACCGAAACCGATACCGAACCATCCCGAACCATACCGAACCGATATTTCAGGATCGGGATCGGTACAAAGTAAAATCCCATACCGAACCGAAATATTTGGTACGGTATCGGTACGAGCTAAATACCGTACCATGCTCACCCCTAACAATAACCATGGGTATATATGTCTATTTCCCCTCTAGCAAGCATATCTATGGTGGTGTTTGGGTTCAAAGTTAGATGCTTCAAATGGTCAAATTTTATTTATTTTTTTTAACTATTTTTGCTACTCGTTTGATAAAATAACACAGTAATGTCACATGTTATTTTGAAGAATTTTTTATATAATTTTTAAAAATTGTAATTTATATTTTTTAATTTCACCCTAATCTTTTGATGGATTAAATTATAAATAATTTTGGCAAAATGTCGTAAATCAAAACAGACATTATAAATTGGGACAAAAAGGGTAGTTGGAAAATTAGAAATTTTGTAGATCTGATTATTGTTAGGGTTTTTTCAATTGATAAGTTAAATTCAAATTTGTATCTTTTTTTTCAAAAATATCCAAAATATTATAAAGTGTCAAAACATAATTATGGTCATTAAAATTAGTTACTATTCACACACTCAAATTAGGGAGTACATAATATGTTTTTCGTTATACTTGCTCCGTTTCACAATTATTAAATTAACACATTCACTTCGTGGAGTGTAATGCGTTCAAAGGTTGAAATTGTATACTTAAATTTTATTTGGAAGAGAGAAATGTTGATATCATAGAAAAAAATTGTGGATTTTTTTTTCTAAGAAGAAATTTTGTTTTGTGGAATTTCTAATTCATTTTTAAATGAAAAAATGTTTTAGTCTAGATGATTTTTATTTTTTGTCCCTGTGTTTTTTTGCTTAAGTCAATCTTACAAAATTTTTTATATGAAAAATATTTCTTAAATGAAGTTCTCACTTCTAAATTATTGTGTTACACATTTATTTCATACTCAATATTTTAGTCTTGTATTTATAATTAACTCAAACATAAATCCCATGCTCTAAATTGTGTTCTTCACTGAATTACATTGATCATTCCCAAATTTTATCAATTATATTTTCAGAATTTTGGAATTTTGAAATGTAATATGAATTAGGACATAATTTAGGCATAAAAATTGTAGCAAAGGTTGTATAAATGCACAACTAATATGTTGAATATGAAATAAATGTGTTCTCTCTACAAGTTAGAAACACTGATAACATTTAAGGATCATTTTCAAAATAAAGTTTTTTATAAGAATGACTTAAAAAAATTACAAGAACCAAAAATAAAAGTTATATATTTTACTAAATTAAAAGTATATTTAACCCTTTTTAATTATATTTGTAAATTTATGGTTTTGAGTTTATGCTAATATTTGAATGAATGGCGTTGTAAATTATTTGAGAGAAACACTTGGTTTGGACTAAAATATGTTAGGTATATCAAAATAAAATGGACCATGCTACACTTACACCAAAAAATATACCCCATTTGTACACCACAAGTTTGCACAAACATTTCGATGGTTTACACTGACACAAGTGTTGGTGCGTTTATAAAAATTCACACGGACACAAATGTTGGTGCGTTTAACAAAAATTAGTTTTACACCAACACAAAGTGTTGGTGCAAAACTGCGGGGTACAAAACTTGGGGTACACATAGCATAATCCAAATAAAATACTCAATATTTGCATGCCGCAACCGGATTCATAATGCCATAGAATCATATTAGCATAGTGATAGAGGGCCACCCCACACTAGCGGATCCACTTGTTTGGAGTAGAAGGCAAGTGCCCCCAACTAATTTTTTATACTCCGTAATAAGTTAAAAATATTTTTTTTTAATTTTTTTAATGTTTTTATGCTCCTAACAAAAATGAATGTAATCCCATCTAATTATGTCAAATTTTATTTTTTTGTTTAATTTTTCTAGTAAAACGTATTTTAGTGTACATAATTAGTTGTTTATAAAATAAAATTTTACAATACCTATTTAAAAATGTGTTACATTCAATAAATTTTTGAAATAAAACTCATTATTTTTTATCATTTCAAATACTCTATAAAAAAATCAGGGGCGCTACCCCCGGACCCCGATCAATGGTGCCCCAATCTATTTCAATTTCTGAATCCGCCACTATCACCCACTCTTCACCACATTTAAGTTCGAGCCTCCCAATCGACCCATGCGGTTAAGTAAGGCTGAGAATGTAAACTAAACATATAGTACAGGCACATTCTATGGTGGATCTAAAGTCCCCCATGTACCTACATATGAGTAAAATAAATATTTTTTTATTACTTAAATAAGAATTATCAAATCATTGTTTTCCTTTTTAGTATATTCCCATATAATCTCCTTTTGTTTTCTTTTAAATTACTACTTTCTCCGTCCCGTTTTAAATCAATCATTTTGACTTTGGAGCATATTTAAGGAATAAAAAAATGGAGTTGACTTTCCAAAATTGTCATTACTTTTTAGGAGAGGTGATGATGAATGAGAAGATAAGATGGAGAAATGTGACTTATTTTAGGGGTAGTTTAAGTATTTTACTCTTAAAAGTTTACGATAACAAGAAACAGACAACTTTTTTTGGGACGAAGAAAAAAGGAAAACGGGCAAGTTAAAATGAGACGGAGAGAGTAGTAGATAAAAATATTATTTACTTGAAGCATGTTTTTTAAGTTTAGAACAAAAGAGTCAGATAATGGAAAGTAGAATTTTTTTTGTTATTTAATTTGCATGTCACTTAGTATGTTTCAATAATACCTAGTGGACAAAACGAGTATTTTTATGTCTTAATACAAAGAAAAAATTGAAAAAATAAAAGAAATTTAAAATTAAACTCTTTTGTCTTAAAAAGTTTATTAAGAGTCATGTTAGAATAGCATCAACTTTGAAATCAGATACGACAATCGTTTGTATATCTTATGTGTGTACAGATTTAATTAAAATTGGTGTTATTCTAACATTTTTGGTGAATAAGTTGATGTGCATTCTTAAATTTACACAAAGTTTGTGTTAATCTATCATTTTTAAATAATTTAATGACATGTTTGAGAATTTGAATATAGATTTCAAATTTTTAAAAAGAAATATTTTTATTTTAGATAAGTTCCTCTCATTCTAAACAAAGTTCAATTAGAAATCAATAAACCTCATCTTGTAATTCGAAAATTGAAATTCAAGACCACTTTGGACAGAGTCCTCCGCTGGTTACACACATACAGGAAGGGAGACGCTGCAAAGAAGAAGATGTGGAAGCTTGCCTTTGCCTGCACCACTTTCATGGTTTGGAAAGTTCGGAATGAGGTCTCTTTTGATCATAAGTCATTTGATATTATGTCCATTATATTGTTTGTCAAATCAAAGTTATGGTTTACACTATCCTTGGGCACCTTTGGCCCTATGCATGTATTGATTTTTAGCTTGGCCTGCGTGCCTGTGTACTCCTTGGTTGGTTTGGCATGCGTGCCCTGTGATCTTGTTTTATCTGTTTGAGTTTAGGGTGGCTGCGGCCTTCCCTTGCTCATGGGTATGCCCCTTGTATTTGTTCATTGTTTCTTCTTTAATATTATTTACCAGTTATTATGCCCTATCAATTAACACTAAAAGACTACAATTCATGCTTAACATTATAACATTTTAACAATATGGATTCCAATTGCTTTAGATTTGAATCAACGATTGGAGGCGGTCGCGCTTCTTCTTCCTTGGAAGACTCCATATATGCATCAGCTATGGCCCGCCCTTGTTCAAGTACATTGGCTGGGACTGTTTTTAGAAGTCTGCAAATGAGAGTAATATGGAACAAATAAACTTTCCAATTTTCTTTTTTTTTTTTGCTGAATGGGGAAAATGAAGAAAATAATTACTCGTCTAGTGCATTGATTGCTGCAGTGGTCATCCCCTTCATAGATTGCACAGATACGTCCCCTTCATTTCTTGATGCATGCAAAAGCAATGAATCCAGTTCTTCCAACGACCTTCGTGTGAAAAGAAAGTTGATTTTAATAGTCTACTATGTAGATCGTGCACGGTTCTTTTGACATTGAGCCCCAATGTTATGATATGACTATGGCAATTTCAAGCACCTACGGTGTTCTAAATTCATGGTTTCTATTCCCGGTAAAACCCCCGGCCCTGCCCCAATGCACCACCGCACTCCCTCCAATTGCACCTCCAAAGTTTTGTTGAGTTTGGGGTCAAAATTTGACCTCAAAGTCAACAACATTTTTGGGGTGCAATTGGAGGGGGGCGGGGGTGCCTTGGGGCTGGGGGGTTTACAGAAGGGTGAAGAGGTAGGATTTATCAATTTTTCGATCGGAGCACTGTAAGTGCCCAATGCCATATTATGACATTAAATTTCAATGTCAAAAGAACCGTGGTGATGTAGATCAAGCCCGTTCTTTTTTTACGAAAAATTACTTAATTACATTAAATTAGTTTAGAAGAGAGAAACATTGTGAGTCATGTAGTTCTTTCCCAAAAAGGAAAGGAGATGAGTATAAAGTTTATTTTGGGACTGAGGGGGTAACACATATCCAGTAACATACTAATGATCATAATGGAAGCAATACCTCAGACACTGATCAACTTCTCCAAAGGCTAATGAACCATTGCCATCATCAGATGCATATTGAGCCACCTGCAATCGCGTATATGATTTAATCACTTGGCATTTCAGAAATGAGTTTGCAACTTCCATCTCTAGTAGACTAGTACCAGAGCACAATATTCAGAAAAACTATAATCATATCATTGTTCAAGAACAGTAAACTGAAAAGAAATCAAAGCTTTCCAACCCTTTGTGTGAGATGATCAGATTGGATATTTGATGCCTATCAGCCTACCATTCAATTTGAGAATTTATGTGCAGGCATCAAATAAAGTTGAGGTCAGAGAGGCGAGAAAAGAGATGACTTACTGCTCGAATATTAACACGAAGAGATGCAGCAGGACCAGAACGTAACAAACTCCTGCAGTCAGCATATTTTGGTTGATCGACTTCCAGAGATTTGCCTATATTTAGAATTTGCCATGAATTCCATATCCATGAAATTATCCAATGCTATCGGAGTAGAGTAAGTAATACCGAGTAAATGTTCTTTCACCTTAGGCTGAATTTTAGAACTGAAAGAAACAAAAATGATGTACTGGGCATATAGATGATGGCACTAAAATATCACATTTTGATTTTGGGATATATGCACCAAATTTCCATCATCTCCGATGGAGCCA